TACAATTATAGTCCAAATTGGGACGATACTGAATGATGTTCTTAGTAAGTGAATCTACTCAGAAATGTATAGTTACGATAGAACTATACCAGTATTAACCCACCAATATTGAGGCCTTACTAACAAACAAAGAACAACCCGAGAGTGTTTGCCAGTCTTTTTTGACTGCACACTAGTCGGTAACTAGTGTAATGTGTCTAGTCCTATCTTCGGTGAAGACGGAATTCTATCAGTCATGTTTACAATGTGGCCACCATGCTAGGTGGCTCGCCATTACGGTGCACTGTGAATTGTTGGTAATAGGTGGTTGGAGGCAATCAGCAGGAATTCAGTCTGATGCGGAGATAGGACTATACACATTACATTAGATATTGACTAGTGTGCAATCAAAAATATCCAATACAATCCTACAGGAGGTCAGTCGCTAGCCTGAATAGCTCAGTGGTAACGTCTCTGACTGCAGCACTGGGTGACGCAGGTTCGAATCTCAGAAGGGACCTCAGTTCCTTCAAGGTTGCAGATACGCCTTTCTGATGAGTGCCAACTAGCCCGAAACTTAGGTCCAAGGCTTCCTGCCGATTGCCTCCAACCATCCAATTACCAGTCTTTAAATATCCCGATGTCTCCCTCGTCGTTATTGTCAGTTCACCATAGCTGCAATAGAAAGTGAATTAAACTGAGTGTGCTTCAATATTTATAAATTGCCCTATGATCCACTTCTTAGCTGATTGGTTAATTCGGGTTTGTAAGCATATTTTATGGGTGATTAGCTCACATCCCTTTCAGAGATTTCTAAGAAAACTGCCACTGTCTTTCTGGTTGATTTACCCGTTTCAGCGAAGAAATTTGAGTTCGTTTCATTTTTAAGTGTCCTCTTTTAATCCATCTAGTTTATGAGTGCCACCTTGAATTCATTGGCTGACTTTTCTACACTAAGGTATTGTAAGCCGATTAATGAACTTCTTCCACCTATAAAGCGTGGTTCCTACCAAATGGATAATAATTTGGCACTACTGACAGGTTTCTTTTGTTGGAGGGATATAATGTACTATTAAATGAATGATATTTTACAGTGTAATTCTACGAAGGCTGAAGTAATCGGCCTGAAGTCCTCAATGTATTTTTAATACGTGAGATTGTGGTTCTAAGTGTTAATCTTCTTGGAGATTTTAGAATCAGTATGCCTCTAAGTATTCTTTCAAAGTTATTAACACGTGAGAACTCGATAAAACCATTTTCTTTTTCTTCTTCTTCATTACCCTTTGTACAATAGACTGTTATGAACATTTTACAAGTTAGTTACGCAACCATATTTGACGTTTTGTTCTTAAAGTGAAGGCTTGGTTTTCTTGATTACTTTCACTGTTCCAACACCTTCAGAATGATGATATTTAATTGACTGGTATAGTTCTGACGTGTTGTTTTGGCATACTATATGTTGCTGTGGAGCCATACCTTTTTGCAGACTTTACGTCTTCTAAATCGTATTTTCGACTGTAAAAACTTTGGTAACAGGATTTCATCATAAGATGACATCAGTTAGAGAACCACTGGAAAGCCTGGGAGTACTGTACAGCTGTCTCCTCTGTCCTAGTTTGGGACTCCTCCATAGTACGCACCCGCCGGCGTTCGGACTCAGGACATTCTGGTTACAAGGCAAGCTCGTTGACCATTAGGCAACTGGGACCCGATCCAATGGCCCATGAATTCTAACTTCTGCCAATTCACGACATAGCACGACCACTAGCCAATGTCATCGGTGAGTATTTGTCCTGAGACCCGACCTGCTGTACTCTGCTAGTCACGAGTTCCCACTAGAATCCCAGGTAACTACCTACCTTAAAAGGGCCAGTCGCTAGTGAGCATCTCATTGATATTCAAGTATTGGTTTGTAAAAATTTTGAAATACTGGACTGTGTGATAACTAGAAAGTAGTTAGGAGATTTTTAGAAGCCGGACACTCAACCGATCTGGATACAATATGGGAATCCATGCGGTTAAATCTAAGATCAATGTACTGAGTATTCTCCAGCTAAGTCGGTGTTCTAGTCAGCTATTGATTAGTGGTTTCTGCTCAATTCAAAGTAGTAAAGTGTTCCATTACAATGACAACCAGTCAACCAAAGAACAACATAATATTCAAGTTATTCGTAATGCAGATAATCATTCTGTTATATCAAGGTGGTCGCCTGTTAAAAAAAAGCATAGAAACTTTTGTCAGTCAAAACTAGGAGCACCATTCATGATTGATATCAATACTTTTGTGTTAACAATGTTCTGTGTTATCTGATGAACACTAATTTACTAGTCAGTATTGTCTATTCATTATCACCACTTTAAAATGGTGTAGTGACTGGGAGCTTGTATTCTTTATTCCAATGTGTTGTCTTGGAAACTTTTTCTCTACTTGTCATTTATTGTGATTCTCTAACCAACTATCATTGAACTAATAAACCATAGTCTATTTTTTATGTGATATTGTGGTAGAAATTCTCTATTCTCACGTACGGCTTTTCAGTCAGTTCATAACAGCTAATCTGCTTGCTCAGAATGTTGGTTAATTGAAAAAGAATTCACAAGTCTCGCGTTTGTAAGAATTTCATTGATTTCAAAGGTGTATTGAAAACATTTATTTCCCGATACGAATTTAAAACAAGTAATAAAGGTTGATAAAGCAGGATTTAATGAATTCATCAAATTTCGGTAGAACTCGTTAGCTGAATACTCTACATACACGGATATATATATACTTTTGAAATTACATTGGGAGATATAAGACTGATAAGTAAACAAACTACATTGAATTAGTCATGCAGAAAGACAGGTGCGAATGTTTTCCAGGTCATGTTCAAATAGATAAGGGGAGAGAGAGTATGAGAGATCAAAATTAAGATAAATTGCATTACGCTTCAATTACATCACTTAGATAAACAATTAGTCATTAGAGAATATAACAAGAATTGCAAACAGAGTGATGTCAATAGTAACAGTTATAATAACAATAATAATAATAGTGTTGAAGTGAGTTAAGATAATGCTACTGATAAAGGATAGTTTTAAATGAATCAAGAATAATAATAATGATAATAATAATAATAGGTAGAATAATAAGTAAAACGTATTACCATGGTAGATTCAGAGTCACGACCATCTCCTTTTGTACACAGAGACCTGGTTTGTAAACTCGAATTGCACAAGCCTCTGCAATTGCAAGCATCTTCTTGTTTCTTTGTCTACTGACAATGGTGAATGACTTGACCGCGTCGATATCATGTCCGTAATCTACAAGATGTTTTGTTATTGAGGATTTTGGCACTTTGCACTCAGCTGTTTTCAAGCATTTTGGCAAATGCTCCATCATTCGAGTAGGCAATCGCGTTTCTGTACGACCTATGTATTTGCTTCTACAAACAAACTCAAATTGATATACGCAGTTTGAAGTGTCAAAATATATTTCCACTCCAGATGTCAGTTATAGAACCTTAAAAAGCCTAGGGGCACTGGGCTCTTCTGTTTCATTACAGTTTGGGAACCTACGAAGGATCAAACTTAGGGTGCACAATGATGAATAAAGACGTTAAGAGCCCAAAACTAAAACGGGATAGCTGTTCAATGTTCCAGTTTTCGATGGCTGTGCAACACTGATGTTATCTCGTAACCGAATCTACCTCAGAAATAGCTTAGGTGACACACTGCAACACATTTCTCACGTATTCTTTTGGAATACTGCAAATAATTCTCCGTGAAGGCAGATGTTTTCGATACTGTTGTGTTACGTGAACTAGGTGGTTTGACTTGCCAAGCTTCCTTTTTCTCTTCAGACAGCATCTTCAGCACAAACTTCAAAATTAATAGCTCATTAGTAGCACCAGTGAGTGGGCCACTGGATGACACCCGCTCCAATCTCATAGGAGACCTCCGTTCCTTCAAGACTGCATATACATCTTGCTGACGATTACCAGTAAGCCCAACATCATCTGGAAGATGATCTTAAAGATTCTGTCCAAAAGGACAACGTAAGATTTGCAATACAAAATACTCGGCTAACAGGATACAGTCACACACCACAATCTATTAAATAAATCCACCTAAAAATTCTAACCAGTGGAAAAAATGTTTCCACCAAGGCATAAATATTTTTTAAATCTGTAATAATGAATAATTTTCATTTCGAAGAAGAGTCTTTTTCACCTTATTTAAAAATCAAAACAAAAAAAATCAAAACACTAATAAAGATTTTCAGCATTGATCGTATATGGAAATTAAAATGAAACTTGTGTTTCATTCTGAAACTATGTCATATGGTTTGAAAAAAAATATGTACATCTAACCATGTTTGCTTTAGTGATCGTCACCGACTGTCTACTGTCCTGAATATTTTCATGTTTCCCTGATTTACGTATACACATTTACGTATATATGTACATACATGAATCCTTTTTGGGTGAAAAATCTATACAAGTGCTTACTTTAAGTAGGAAAGAAAATATAAACACAGTCGAGTTATAACAGCACAACTACCAAGCGCACAAATACAAAATAAGTGACGGTGATAACTAAGAGAAGTGGGATAGAAGCTTCACTGAAGCCTCCACCCCTATCTATTTATCTACCCATGTATATATACATAATATGTATGTATACAAAGGGATGTGTATGTATACACTCACCTATTCACCAGTTCTCCCATTCAACTAAATTACACACAGTTCCAATCAATACAATCCGACCAACAGTGTTAAGCATATATGTGCAACCATACCTACTAGTACAGTAGAGGCCTCCGTAAACTGAACACTGTGTGTATGAAGCACTAATAGACTAGCACCTACACATAGAACACACACACACAAGCAGACAGACATAGATATATACTTGCACATATGCACAGACATAGAGACGCAGATACGGGCATGATATATCGTTGGTTTGTTTGTTTGCTTGTTTGTTTGTCGGTAGGATGAATCGAATATCACAGACTATAACACTCTGATCATTGGGAAAGTTCAGTCTCATTCCACTCACATTCACTGCTGCTTATAACCAGTCAGTTACACACACTTTTAAATATTTCGCAAAAATTAAAAATTATAATTAAATTTCTATTTCCTTTCTTATACATTTCGTCTTGAGGATACTAATTTACTTCTTTTTTCTTCCCAGAAAAAAAAACGAAAATTTTTTCTTTTACTTAATGTGGAATAATTGTTGGTGCGCGTGTCGTGTTGATTGAATTTTAATTGATGCATCGAACACTGAACACTTTTCTTCTATCCACAAGAAAGTGCATCTGTTTTTTGTTTTTTTTGTTGTTGATTTTTTCACTTGCCCACACTTTTGTCTGTGCTGCTTTACTCTCAATTTATTTGACAATTATAATGACAGATACATTTCATAACTATTAATACTACTACTATTATTATTATTACTGTTATTATCATCATCACTATTGTTGTTATTGCATTTATCTATCCCATTTATCAGTATTAATCCAAATGAAAAGTCAAGAGGAAAAAACAAGCCGATGTGTAAACATTTCAACGAAACAACGCAGTGAGATTATCTAATCCGTATTTCAATAATCTGGAACAATAAGAAAAAGTTAAACTGGTGAAAAACGTTTTTGTTCTCTCCCTCCTCTTTCACCCATCTCTCTCTCTCGCTTTCACGGACACGCATACATACACACACATACACGTACAAACATACGTAATATTTTATGTAACCTTTTAATCCGTTCACTTTTTGGAATGATTAAATAAATAAATAAATGAGAAAAGGACATCCCACTGTGACGTAAACCAGTTTATTATTGATTAAATAAAGCATGTCAAGTTATCGTTGGCCTCCAGTTCCTTCCTCTGGACTCAAGTCACGAGATGTAAGTAAACAATATACATTTATATATATTCTTTTCTTCTTAATAAAGTATTCCACCATATTTAATTACACATTTTTATGTTTATAGACACATTTGTATGACGCTTGAGGATTTTGTATGAGTCAAAATATTACCAGTTGAATGCAATGATGTAATCAGATTGACAATGTGTATGAAAATGTTCATTTTATAGAATGCAAATGTGTATCAGTTCACTGAGTGGCAGTAATTTCACTCAGTGGATTTATGCTGTCATTATAATGTTTCAGTGTTACAACTGGCTCTTCACATACACCCAGAAACCAAGCTCTTAATATTCACTGAAATAAAAATGAAGATGACAAAATATCGTGTTATGGAAGAAATTATAATTCATGGGCTGTTGAATTCCCCCCCCCCCAGTAGCTGAAGCCTAACATGGTCGCCTAGTAAACGGAAGGCCCTGGCTCAGATCCTAAGCTGGTTGACGGATGAGTACAGCTGAAGAAACTGAAACTAGGATGAGACACTTGTCCAATACTCGCTGGTTTTCAGTGGTTCCCTGACTGATAACAATTCATGATGAGTTCTAGGATGAAATAAAGATACCAGTTTGTAGCTTAAAACTAATTAGACCAAGTGAGCATTACTCCTGGTTAGTAAATAATGAATACACATTATAAACATGTAAATATACTTCCTACGATATCAAGAGACTCTACTGACCTAGTCTCATACTCTTCGAAAGTCAGCTGGAGGAGGTTTAAAAAAAATTACTCACCGATCACACTGGTTGTTCATAATGCAGCATCACGAAATGGAGAGAAGTTACAAAAAACACCAGTTGTCTGACTGTAGTGACTCAATTATTCGCAGTATAATGAAACCACTTATGAACGACGATAGAATTTTCAAAAACACTTTTTATTCCTAGTAGTTTTGCACCTTTAAATGCCTTTCTATTCCTTTAGACTGAAGGCATATCTTCTTCATAAACTAATTTATTCGTATCGTAGAACTCTCAGGTTCTTTCTTTTTCTTCTAAACTGAGTAGTAGTCGAGGCTTCAAATCCACACATCTCTATTTAAACTGAAAGTTAGGTGACACAACTACAAAATGATATTATTAGTAACCTAAAACAAACTTCGGAATCATTAATTATGTTGACCCTAGTAGATAAGTTTATTTATGCAATGTGTAAGTTGACCAAGGGAGCACAAAAAGGTCTAAACTGCTACTAATAATAACAATATCAGCTTCATTTCTGAAATCATATTTGCGCACCATACAGAATTATCAACAGATCACTTCTTGTAAAATATTTACTCCCCATTTGTAATCTTCCAGTAAAATATTCACTGTCAGTATATCATATGACACGATATCATTCTACCTGAAAGATAATTCAATCCTCTTGGAAATTTTTCTTTCTTTTCATCTTGAAATATACAGCGGTAGGTTAGAAGTCAATGAAACAATTCACATGAGTTCATGATGTTGCGATCTAAAGACTCGAATGGAAGGATAAAATAACAAGAGGTAGGGAAGTCTTAGGTCTTGAACAGCGTCCATTCTTATATTAAGTTTACAATGGAGTATGAAAAAGAGAAGTTCTATTTTCTTGACCTGGGTATCCAACGAAATATAGACGGCAAAATCATAAAATATATATACACAGAAAAGAGACCTGGAGGGCGGTTTATCTTAACTCCAAAAGCTTCTGCTCCATAAGTTATAAAAAGGGATTGGCGAGAACATTATTTGACTGTGTAAGGAAGCTGTGTTCAAAAGAAAAGATTGAGGAAGAGCTATCCATTGTGGAGAAATGCCTACGCGACAACAGTTACCCACAAAAGTTTATCGATAAGTATGGGAGACGTCATGTTGAAAAAGTGAAAATCAGCACAGTAGAGAAAAAGCCTATCTTTCTGCAGCTTTCATTCAAAGGTGATGATACTGCTAGTAGAATAAGATGCAGACTGAACGCTATCCTGAAAAGAACATATCCAGCTGCCAAGCTTGTATGTGTCTATCAAACAATTAGTTGTTTAAGATAATCAAAAGAGGACAAATACCCACCTCATGTTACGTCCAACTGTGTCTACCAATTTACATGTACGTGCCAAAGCACATACATTGGAAGAACAGAGAGAAGGGTTATTGTCTACATTTCTGAACACATACCAACGAACCTGAGACTGAAAGGTCCGCAAGCATTAAACAGTGCGATTGCGTGTCATCTATTGGACACTGGTCATACGCTTTGCTGAAGCAATTGCTATCAAACGACTTAAACCAAATCTATGTACGCAGAAAGAGACAGTGGGGAATTTCGCACTACCCTGGTGATAACAAAATATACAACTTTCATGAGTCACCCTTTCTCTTGTTTAGAAAACTCTACTCTCTCATCTAAACATGACTCACCCTACCTTGTTCTTTACTTTTTTCTATTGGCTATTAGATAAAACATTTTCTTTAGTTACTTAATCTAATTTTTTTGTTATGCTCTTTCTAGCTAAACCTTGATTTTATACACACATATATACGCAACTCTGTTTTTTGTTTCCAAGGCTAATTGTCTGATTATTGTATAAATAGTCAGTGTTTGTAACTCTTAATTAGTTAAATCATTCCGGAATAATGTTACTTTTACTTCCTACCAATTACTCCTTGTGATCGTGGAATGTAATGTAATTCATATTTTTATCGTTCAGGTTGTAACCAGTTGAGAAGAATCCTCGAAATAATAAAAGATGAGCTCATATTATCCTGGTACAATTATTGTTCTTGCTTTGTTTAAAAGTAGATGCATTATGATGGTTGAAAATTCAGACAGCCCAGTTGTTAAAGTATTCCACCACACTGATATATCTGATATATTCTAAAGAGTCTGCTTTAATATATGCATAGAAATAACTCCAAAAGTAGCATTTGTTCTCTTGAGACATTACTCAATGGCTAGAAGTATATGAGTATTTGATTTTTTGTTTTTTGAAATTAGCGTTCTGGATGGCTTGTTGATGATGATGTTCAGCGACTTCAGAAGGCACTGAATCACACAGAAAAAGAAATCAATAAACTCTTATTCATTTTGTTCTCCTTTATGGGTTTCCAATGATCTTATTAATGACCTTAAAGCCCGACATCCATCTTTAAAGTTTATCAATAATCTAATGATGAGAAGTTACTGATTTTGTGCTGTACTGTTTACAGGAATAGGTAACCAAGTTTGAAAACTGTTCACATCTCACAGTAGATACAGTAGTATTTGTCCATTTGATTGAAGTCTGTGAGATGAAACATTCGAAATTAAATAATCGTCTGCCTGTTGTGCTGGTCATCACACTTTGTTTGCTTCCGCGTAAGAATATACCACCCTGTTTATCATATCTGTCTGACAGTGAGGCTTCATGATCTCAGAGTTGTCTAATTTTTCATTCCTGCCATTTTTTAACATTTAAACAGTTAGCCATCCAGCAAAATTGCTACAGTGTTGAAGTGTATTAAACTGAAAAGAAACGTTTGATAATGTTATTCTTCACGAAGTACCGACGACGATTTGTTGATTATCATTTTTAAAAGAGAAACGTTCAGCGAAGAGACTGTTTTGGCGAATTCATTCACATAGCTGTACAATCGCAGTTATACATAATTATTGTGTGTGTACATGACGTTTGTCAAGCTTAGACAATTGATCGGGAAATACAAGAATGATCTAATATAGAAACAAGGTTAATCAGACAGCAACTAAAGTAAGATTGAGTTAGTAAGTTAGATGACGTAATATAATTGACTAAAATGTTTCAACTTAGATCACGGTAGCAACAGAGGTAATTACAGGTAGAGACTAAGTAGTAGTGGAGTAGAGAATAATGCCATTTAAATTAGCACTGAAATTTTACCTCCTAAAATTAATCTGAAAGGTCTATATATATGATTACTATCATTTTCATGTGTCAGTTGTAAAAGACAATAACGTGTATGAGATCTGTAATCTGTGCATTGGTGTTTCACTTGTATAAAGCTGACCAACAACGTGGGAGACCTGGGGTTCAGTCCTCGGATGACACACTGCTAAACCTCTCTTAGACAGGTAATAATTCCGGTAGACAAGGAAGGTTGGGAAACATGACTAGGAACCCCACCCTGTAAAGAGAAAACCCAAGACAGCTATTTAAGCTTCAAAGCTCAACCCTGAAGCCTTATGTTCTACTCTGAACGCAAAGGAATAAAAGAAAGATCTGTAACACACACACATATATGAGCTAGCAACCAGTAACTGTCTTTTAAACCTGTACTCATATCAAAAATACACAGTGTCTATTCATATCTTGATGCATTGGTACGTGTATATTTGAAAATGAAGTGTTAAGTCTTTCCTAGTTTCTCTATCTTCAAGAGGTCCGTTTTTATTTTCACAACTCTTAGTATCAGTCTGGATACTGTGTTCACTTGTTTTCTTTTATAAAGATAATTGCTACTGAACCTTGATGGAGTGGTGGACAATTATTCCGTCTTTTTGATTAATTTTCCATCAGAAATCGTATGTGTTTGATGTTCGATCCTTTTATTTATTGTAACTTGTCTTCTGTGAACTTGTAAGATGGTCAGTATATCAATGGTTCCACTGTTTTGTTTTTTTTCGTTTACACTTCGATGGCTTAGAAGTATCATCTCTTCTAGTGATTTTCGACTTCCATAACAAACAAAGCTGGATCTACCCTGTTGCCTCAAAAGTTTGCAAGGTAAATCTATGGTTAGAAGTTATTTGTGTTTTGGTCAGTTTACATTTCCCGTTGACTGATTATACTGGACTGACTGAGGACTCTCAAGTACATTCAGATGACAAGTCCCAAATAGAACAAGATGTGCATCATGTGAATTCTACTGCTACTCACTATCTCATCCAAAACAACACTAGGTTGGAGGAGTTATAAAAAAAAAGATGGAATATTCAACAGCATTAGTCGCCATTTCATGAGATTATAGTGAGATATTAAAAATAAATAATTTTTTA